GTTCCTCTTTTGAGTTTCTAAATTGATTGCAATTTTCCTCATTACTTTTGCAATTTAAAAAACTCCCTTGAGGAAATTTGCAATGTTGCTAAAAGCCAAAAAATTTTTCCTCAGTTCCTGTTAGAAGTTCTTAACTTCCTGTTACAAGTTCCTAACTTCCTGTTCTGTTCTGGGCGTTGCAATTGGCTAACAAAAATAATCGACCAATAACAACGCTCAGAACAGAACAGGAAGTTAGGAAATTAAAACAGAAAGTTAGGAAAATTTTAAATGAAGTTTGGAATATTGCAACAGCCGATAGGAACATTGCAAATTCCCTCAAGGGATTTGCAAAGAGTTTTTCAAATTTGCAACGCTAATGAGGAAAATTCCAAATGAGTTACGAAGTCAAAAGAGGAACGCTTCACGTAGTTTACCTGTAAAAGTGAAATACATAATTATTCTTTCGACGCAAGAAAGAAAATATGAAACGAAAATGTTCAATGAATATTTTGCCAAGAAAGTTCGAACCTGCTGTTTGCCATTCCCGGAAATGTGAAGCTTAAAACTCCCTAGTTAATTGCAACTACCGACATGAATGCCGAATGTCGAAGGAATTAAAGGTGATTTCATTGTGCACCTCAGCAAAAAAAGTGCCAAGGCAAACTAAAAAAATATTGAAAGACTTTGGCAATTAGTTGCCGAGGCAAAAATAGTTGAAGTACGAGTCCAGGTTGTATGTGTTGTATAAAACTATACACGTGACGTGAAAAAATTGAAGTTTCATTTAGACATGATTAAAATGGGTAGGGAAACTAATAGCTAGTACATAAAATATATTGGATATAACTACTGAATGTGGGATTTGTTTAAAAAAAATTAATGTATTTTTGACCTACCTAAAGCAGCAGGCAGGCTGGATATCACTAGCTGGACCACATTGAGCAGAAGGTTTTGTGACATTCTCAGTTGGAACTGCTTTTATGTGCAACACAAGTTCATCTCTCGATTTTGTACTACCAGCAGCTATTGCATATTTCCACTCCTCATCAGTACAACCCTGATGAAAACCCCGCAAACAGTATTTTAACTATGCGTTTTGTAGAGATCAATACAGTATATACATGCAAGCACTTTGGTCCACACTGCTGGTTTTCAATGACACAAACTGGCAGTGCAGCCCTGTACATGTGTGTATAAGTAATATACAATTTTTTAATTGTGAAACTGTTCACCAATACAGTATAACAAATTGATACTTTCAAATTTTCAGGGGTTTTTCAGGAGTTTCTGCTGGATAGAAGATTGAATTTAGGAAGGGGTTTAGGATCCATTGTAATACCCATCACATTACCCTTAATACAATGGCTCCTAAGCACAGCATTGCATAACATATACAAGCTACTGTACATAAACTGTGTGGATGTTCTTGTTCATGGTTTTTTTGTGCTGTGAAATGAATTGCATGCAAGTCTGACATGCTTTGCTAGGTGGTAAAACTATATCACCGTCACAAATTTCAGACAACTTAATTTTCACTGCACTGAAACTCTTGATGAGATTGACAGAGCATAACTCAACATTGAATTTCTGTAGCCATTTAACAGCCCAAAAAATCCTGAAAAAATTCTGCTTTGAATATGTGTGTGAAGGTGTGTTTCTTGCAGAGATGAACAGTTTGTAACTTTGTATGACGTACTGCTTTTAATAATTTGCAAATTTTAATAATTTTCACTTTTTTTATTAAATGTTTATAAAGATTAAGCTTGCATATTTATAAATGGAGAACTTACTGAAATATAATCAGCATCTTCGTCCAAGTATTGAAAAGCAAGTGAGGTAGTGAAGAAATTATTCACTTTTTCTTTAATTAATTCACACACATCAGACCAACTATAAATAAATATCAATACACTGTACTGTTTGTACTGTTTATTGCACACATGTTTCAATAGTCTCATCTTCATGTGGTTATTTCCTCATGTTTCATGCACAAAAGGGTTAAGGATAGGCTTCATGATTGGGCTCAAGACCAGATCAAAGGTACAGATATATTCATGCACAAAACATGGGGATATAACCTTCATATACACCTGCTATAAGACTTGTTTACACTTGCAATTTTTGCTGCAATTTTAGGTGCGATTTTCGTCTGATGATGGATGTGAACGAGTGGCAGGCACAGATTTTGCACTCCAGAAATGATTTGCACCCCCTCAAAGGCATTTGGCACCCCCACTAAATTTGTAAAATACTACTAAATTTACTACTAAATTTGTAAAATTACCAATATTATGATCTCAGATCTCGCCATGCAGGCCTAGAAAACAAATTTTGTTAAACTTTTTCCTTGGCCTTTCCGGGCGTTGCCACCACGCCCCGGCCAAAGAAAGCAGCAGCACCCCCCAGATATTTATCCACCCCCCCCCCAAACAAAAATCCGTCTCTGACAAGTGGATAAGTTATGAATGTTCAAATGAGGGAACATGTACTCCGAACATTTGTAACTCATCCATTCGTTCACATGCATCAGAAGGAAAAAATCCCACTACTGTAGAAATCGCATAAAAAATTGCAAGTGTAAACAGGCCAATACACTGTAACATTCATGTGCACATGGAGGGGAAAAAATAGGGCAGGAACAAATTTTCCTGACTTTGATGCATTTGGCCCAACTTCAATTAGTTTGCTGGAGGGGGTTGCCACCCCCTCTGCTCCCTCCTCTAACATTTATGGAGAGAAGGGCATTTTTAAAACTTGCTTTGCAGCCCCCGACTTGCTTTGCATGCCAACCTAAATGCCGACATATCAACCAATCTTTTTTTGTGCTGATAGCTGTTAAAAAGTCAGCGATTACAGAATTTGATTCGTAGTTCGATTTACTAAACACACTTCGGTGTTTAAAATTTAAAAGTTTAAAATTTGACGTGTATTCTATATATAATTTAGGTCAGACTTCAAAAGAAAAGCTGTCGTGTTATTTTTCAATGATTCATAAATATGTGATTACCAGTGCTCCAAGACATGGAAACAGATTTTAAAAAATGCAGAGACGTGCCGACCTAGGTCAGATTTAGGTCGGCATTTTTTGACAACCTCAATTTTGACGGTTTTCGAGGGCTGGCTTTGTACTTTTCCATTTTCGTATGAATTTTACTTGCCCTCCCATTTTCTCCTGCCTTAATTTTCCCACCCACAAGCTCGCCCACAATTCCTCCCCCAAAAAACCAACTGCTATGCAGGCTACTATACTTTTGGGATTCAAAGATAATATTTTGGCATTATTCTTCTAATATATATAAGCTAGATTTTTTATTATTGAAAATGTATATATTATTTTTGTAAACCCTATTTGTCAATGTGATACAGTCATTTGTCCTGATAAAGAAATTTGCCTCAGCGTATATACTAAATGACTAAATCGACTATATTCGGTATTCGGTAATATCCCTTTCAGGGAAATGCATCCCTATTCCCTGCATGGTGTACTGTAGGAATCAAACCATAGAGATGAAAGACAAAACTGTCTCACACTTATATGGGTCAGTACGAAGGGCCGTCGCTCGAAACGTCGAGTTTCTGCTTATTTTTGAAGGTAGTAATATAACCACTCAGCACAGCATTTTCAGTATTAAAGATTTTCAATATAGTTGAATTTAGAGTTATAACATAGTTAATACTGTCAAAAAATTTACATGTCGTCATGTCTGAATCACATGATGGTCACTAAGTTTTACATCTAGTACGTACCTTGTGTCTTCTTGGACATTGAGGGAAATACTTTGATCCGCTTCGAACACGTCAGATGGATTTACATGAACGTTAACACGGAGCTTTTGACTCATGTTTTTCGGTCAAAAATGCCCCAAAAGAGGAAAAAATTGAAAATCATTTACCAAGTACGCAAACACACAACTTCACTATTTTCGTTTTGGCTTGACTCAGTGCTTCCATTTTCAAAATCAAAATTTCTCATTTTTGTCATCAAAATTTCTCTAAATTCCTTAGATTGTATACGTTATTTCCTTGAAAATTCCTTGAAATTTCATTAGGCGGTTTGCAGACCTTTGCAGTGCTTTTGTAGCAATACAAAGGATTTAATCAATTTTAAAGGCACAAAATAGCACAATTAACAAAGATAATTGCTAGCTAAAAAACCACAGGCTATTATACTGTTTAAAATTAAATATTTGTTCAGTGAGTTTACAACATATACCTTTCCATTGATATAAATAATTAATTCACAGCGTTTGGCGCCAAAAGATACCAAATCCTGTCGCTCAAAAACTTTCGGACGTTTTCGGAAACACGAGGAAAAAGTTAAAACCAGATTTTTAATTGAACATAATTGATAATTCACTCAAAAATTCAAGAAATAGCGAAACATTCTTCTGCACTAATGCACTTGGATGAATATTTAAGTTGTTGGGAAAAAATCCTTAGATTTCCTTAGATAATTTCTCTTCCTTAGATTTTCCTTTTCGACACTAGAATTTCCTTAGAAAAGGAAATATCCTTGAAAATGGAAGCACTGGCTTGACTGGACCTACTACCGGCACAGAATAGGAAGTTATACCAGAAGCGTAACTCGAGCAAATATTTGTCCGCGTTTGTACAAGCGATTCGTCATCAATCACGCCACCCTGGCTAGTACAACCGGCACTTTGTACCTACCAAATCCTGATAAAAACTTCCGGCTGTACTAGCCAGGATGGCGTGGCCTGACGTGAGCGAGTTAAAATTTTCGTGGACGTCAAACAATAAGGGAAACGACTAGAGTTACGCTTCTGGTATAACTTCCTATTCTGTGCTACCGGCAAGGGATTCGGTCAACCGGCTCGATCCTCCTCCGTACAAAATTCCTCGCTATCCTCTGCTATCCATGTATTATTCTTGCTGAGTGATCACATTTATTCTTAAAAACAGGAATTGTCGGGGAATTTGCTCAGTGATTTATACTGTAAACAGGGGCGTAGCTAAGGGGGGGTGCAGGGGGTGCCGCACCCCCCCCCCCCAATGCCGTGTCCGTCGGCACAATAAATCAGTTGTCGGCAAAATGAATTGGATCAAGCCAATAGGCAATACCTGATTGGAATGAGATTGTTTGTAGAAAATTTGTAGAAAATGCGAGATCGAAAAGATGGATATGTCGACTGAAAGCTCGGTCATTTTCCAAACATTCAGCCAAATTGGCCAAGAACTTATTAATCTAATACGCTATTTAATAGTATTAAATTTTCTTGCAATTTTGTGAAATATGATACCATAGGAAACTCGAAGCACATGTGCGTGTTGACTGTTGATGCGTCTGCGCTTCCGATTTTATAATTGTGTAAAGCCAGTAAAGGTCTTAGAAATTACACCTAACGGTCTTATATACAATGAGAAATACGAAGATGATTTAAAAGAATGGACAGTAGCAAGCAAAAACGCAAACGGAAGAGAGAGAAACTGACGTGTTTAGTTTGTAATCGGTCGTTTGATGACGATTGGATGTGCTTTTTTGACATTTATACCAGGTATTTTAAGGCACTATTTCACCTATTTCAAAAATAAATTATCTTACTACTCGGATTTCGTCGTTATACATCACTTAAAAATGAATACGGTTCGTTTTGACCACGCCCTAACAACGTGCTAGCCACGCCCTTTTGTCGGCAAAAAGTTGTCTTGCACCCCCCGAAAAGGATAGTCTTCGCTCCGCCCCTGACTGTAAACTGAGTGTAAAGTACTGTAAAAATATAAAACACTACAAGGGGTTACAAGGGGCCATAGAAATATTAGATATCTATTATTTCTATGCAAGGGGCACAACACTGCTGTCCACTGATATGTACTATAAAGACGGTATAAACAGTGTCCAGAAGTGTCAGAGATACTGATTCCTTTATAGGAGGAATTTTGGGGAATTCTAGAATTTTCCCTGGATTATCATGTGAATTCAAGTGAATTCATTTCCTGTGTCTCATCTCATGTTGCCAAGTGTTTATTTTGAATTTTATGTAACTTGTAAATGTTCATATCCGCTATTGAAATTATAAAATGAGGAGTCAAACAGCAAGTATTAAAGAAGTTAAAACATCGCCATTCAGTGATCAAAAGCCTGGTAGTTCAGGTTTAAGAAAGAAAGTCACTTTATTTCAACAACAGAATTACACGGAGAACTTTGTGCAATGTATCTTAAATTCAATCCCAGAAAATGAGAGGGAAAGTTGCACAATAGTTGTAGGAGGTGATGGACGATATTACATGAAAGATACAATTCAAACTATTGCCAGAATGGCTGCAGCTAATGGAGTGAGTTTAGTTATTTTTGTTGTTAATCAAAATTAAATATGATTTTGTTTTGACCTCAAAACGTTACTGTGTGCACGTCGTATATTATGTTAATCACAATGCATGCGTTAATGCAGGGTCATTGTATTTTTCAGTCAATACTTCTGGACTATTGGTGTCAAACAGGATACTAGCTGTCTCCTAGTAGACAAGTACTATTACTGTTTTGATATATGCTAAATATAAATTTCTCTTGAATCACACATACAAAACTTAAAAGACATGCAAAGTCACACGATTACATGTTGTATGTCCTCCGACCAAAAAAAATTTAACTTGAATATATTAATTATGTTCCATACTGTATATAGTTCTATGTTCTATACTACAGAAGCTATAGGTATTCACTATTGGTATGGAATGTTATATGTGACATACCCAACAGTCACTTCGACCTCTAGGTATTTTCGTAGATAAACCTCCTGTGTTGTGTTTATGTCAAATGCACCCTTACACCTTACAATCATAATGATTACAATCAATCATGCTAATAATGCCTAATGTATTCCAATATTGGGTGTGTGTTTAAATTCATTGTTATATCTTCATCAATGCAGTAAACGTTGTAAATTCAAACACAAGAATCGTGGGTTTTAATCTTATACATAACTTTATTTTACCAAATACATACAGACTGCATGCTTGGCTACAAGTCTTGAGTCTAACTCAAACCTACTTGTGTTCTAAAACATTTAACTAAGACTATATAATGTAACATGCGGCATTGCCAGTGTTGACAAGTGAAACGTCAACCCCTTAGCTAGTGCTTGTTGCTCAAGTGTATGACAACTATAAATTATTAAAGAATTAAGTAAACATATATAAACAAAGTACAATCATGTTGTGCGGACCGAACATCGCCGTCCCCATGTTCATCCTCAACATATGGGGTGGACGTGCACTATTTTCCAAAGATTGAGTTGCTTCTTAAATATAGTGAGGAGATCTTTGCTACAGGCCGCACAAGTGTCCCTCTCTTTGTTTTAACTTTGACGATGTTAGCTTGTGTAGTCCACTTTCGTCTTTGCAATAAGTTGGGGACATATACTCCTTCATTGTTTCCAAACGTGGTTGCATGGTCACAACTTCAGCTTGTCACCATCGGCGTTGACTAGATATTTTCGTGCTGATGAAAACAATACATCGGGAGGTAAATTGGGCAACCAAGGAGGAAGTGGTTTGGAGTCAAGACAATTAGTCAAGGCTTCTTCATCAGAGCTTCTTTAACAAGGCTTCGAGACTTCAGCCATAACAGTGAGTAGGACCTCGTCCGTCCGGGTCTGTTTCCCAATGACAGCTTGGATCGCTCATTTGCAGGACTGGACTAAGCGTTCCCAAACTACCAAAATGAGGTGCGGCTGGTCAGTTGAAACGCCAAATCCCTCGTTGTACCATCTTGTCGTGAATTTTCCCTTTATTCCAGTTCTGGAGACATTCACACGGCTCTCAGTTGGCGCCGACAAAGTTGGTACCATTGTCAGATAGGCTTCATTGAGGCTGAATAATTTCCTCTTCTTGAGATCATTCTGTGAAGTGCCATGATGTAGGAATCGGTGTCGAGCGTGTGAGCGATCTCAATATGGACGGCTCGAGTGACCAAACATGTGAACAGACATCCATATCTTTTCTCAGTCTTGCGAAGACGTTTAACAGTTAATGGCCGATCTTTCGTATTTTGGCGCGACAATTCAAGGTCCAAAACTCCTGACGAGCCTCAACGAAACTGAGCCTGAATAAAAGCAAAACTGAATAACTATATGCTTATTGGATCACATCAAAAACTTTAACAGTGTAACTCCGAATTGCAAACGTAAGTAACCGTTTACTTACTAAATCACTGGGTATGATGATTCTCAAACAGATCTAATTACAAAGAAAGTAAGCTAGACGATTAAGAGATCTTGTGGCTGTAAGGACTCTAGTAACAGTTTACAAAACCTTCATTCAACCACACTTTGATTACTGCTCGCAAGTATGGGGTTGTCTTGGAATTACCCTTCAAAACCATTTGCAACGTTTACAAAATAGAGCACCACGTATTATTACAAAGCGTGGGACTGGTATGAATTTAGGTCAGCTGATATACTTTATACCTTTATACAGTAAAGAATTAAATTTACCTGATTTAAATCTCAGAAGAAATAATCAATTATGTACATAAGGTAAATAATAATATGGTGCGGATTGGTGCCTGATTACCAAATTGATTTATTCACGAAAATAAGTACGCTTCATAATCATGAAACTAGGCAGGCTGAATTTAACTTGTAACTCCCCAGGCCAAATACCAACTTTTGTAAAAAATCATTCTCGCACAGAGGAGCTGTAGCTTGGGATGATTTATTACCAAACATACAAAATTTGGGTTCATTCATTTGTCAATTTTCAAAAGGGCTCTAGTGACAAATAGCGGTAATAATTCTTGATAATCATATCTTTTTTTTTCTCTTCGACCACGAAGGTAACGAGCATGTTCGTAACCAATCAATCAATCAATCAAACTTTATTTATCCACTGACAGTACTATTTCACAAAGACAAAAACTAAAATATTTACAAGATGTGATCTTCCAATGTGCCGTGCTATGTATGATTGGTTACATGCAATCTGATTACATGTAATCAATCATACATAGTTTTATAATTATAAAAAGAACTTACATGTAATTAAAGTGCCTATGCCACGAAATTTCACCCCAAAGCTTTATGGTTGCATTGTAAAGATCATTTAAAATGACTTACTAATTTCTTTTATAGAATTTTGGTAACTTGCTCCCTTTTCAATATGTTCAACTTTGATGTTTGTGATGTTACTCTGAGTGTATATCCACACCGGGCGAGCTTGAAAAATATGATCGCCCGGTGTGGATATACACTCAGAGTAACATCACAAACATCATATTCACCTGAGTACACAACACCAACACAGAAAAAATCATATTCAACTTTGTTTCATATGCAAATATCACCGGTGTCACATCACATCACATAATGAGTTTTCAGAAAAGTACAGTTTTCTTGACGAATACGTATCTAAAAAACTTAAAAATTGCCCTTGTATATGTATTAATTTCATAACTGCTAATTAACCCTCTGTATTTGTTTGTAAAAATGTTTTATCAAGGTAAAATATTGCGTTTTCAAAATGTAATGCATTATGCGATGTGATGTCACACCGGTGATGAATATCTTGCAAAAGAAGCAAGTTACCAAAATTCTATAAAAGAAATTATTAAGTCATTTTAAGTGATCTTTACAATGCAATCATAAACATTTGGGGTGAAATTTCGTGTCATAGGCACTTTAAGTTAGTACAATAAGATAAAGACTTTCGGCGGTGGAAGTTGGTTATGATAAGTCTGGTGACATCGTGCTTCTGCGGGAGGATAATTGGATGTCGCGTAGAGTATGGAACTGGAGCGTTGGACAGTCGACCACCAGCCCGGAGTAAACCATTCTCATCGAGGAACGGCGTCAAGGTCAAGATTCGACTTTGTCGAAGGATGGGTGTTTTCGTCTTCAGCCCACGAAGTTCAAGAGAAAAGTGTTCGATTTTGGCTCTCGTTATCCACATATCTCTGGCTTCGTTGTATTCTGCGACGGTGATCAATCCCAACTGCCGCTCTCGCTGCGGTTTTCCACAGTTCCTGATAAATCGGAAGATCCAGCTTGTCTTGCGTATCAGCTTGTCTCAGGAGGAGAAATGAGCGGGGTCGAGGGAAACGTGCGGAGCTTGGTGAACCAGTCCACTCTGGGTTTACTACATCTGACACGTCGTTGTTCGTTTGCCATTCCGTCGGCCAGAAAAGGCCAGCCCGTTCAACTATCGGCACTCAGCTGCGTGCAGACCACTGCTGCCTAATCGTCAGCTACGTTGAGACGGCCGGGAACATGCCGCCATTGCAGTGGATCGGTAGAATCCTGGATCTCGGATATGCGATTGGCGATGAATGTTGGATGACTACGACTTGAATCCATTGAAGGACTGTGGTCCGCAGGTGGCAGGATTCAAAGTCGTACGTATGCTCTCTCTTAACTGTCTCCAACAGGCGAACACACATCACGGCAGCATGTAGTTCGAGCTTCGGAATGCTCAGTTGTTGGAGGGGTGCAACTCTGGTTTCCCCCATCACGAAGTGACACTGGATAGTCCATCTTGATACACAGGAACCTGGAGTAGGCCACTGCGCAGAAGGCCTCGACCGAGGCGTCACCGAAGACGTGGACTTGAAATGTGGTCAGGCTGCTGTGCATCGCTCGATAGAATCTCGGGTGTTTGAACGCAGCCAAATCTGGTAATTCGTCTTACCATTCTCTATACGGGGCTAGTTCGTCCTGACTGATTTCCTCATCCCAACCTCTTTTGGCGCATCATAGACTTTGGAGGAATATTTACGGCCTGAGGATGTATGGCGCGATCATTCCAAGGGGATCGTAGATGGTGGCGATTGGACTCAGAACCTGTCTCTGCGTGGTCGCTGACTTTCGATTTGGGTTCTTGAAAACGAAGTATCCAATTCTGTGTTCCAGGCTACTCCGAGTGCACGTTTGCCGGGGACTTCGTCGTTAAGGTTGAGTCCTTTTAAAGAAGGAGAGGGTTCACTTTCTGGTATAAGGGCCAGCACGTCGCGTGAGTTGCCGCACCATGTCGTTCGGCGGAAGCCGCCCCTTGCAAGCAACTCGGTAAGGTTCTCGTGGGTCTGTACTTCCGTGTTCTCGTCCTCTTCGAACTTGAAGAGATCGTCCATGTGGAAGTTCTTCTGGACCGTTCCTGCAGCTTCAGAAATCCTTTGCTGTTTGGCGCAATACAGGAGGCTTCGGTGGCGAAGTGGTTAGCGCACTTGCCTTTCACCTCTAAGGTCGTAGGTCCAAATCTCAGTGAGAACTTTCTCAATGCGACTTGAACCCAGTCCCCGTGTGAAAAGAGTAAAAGTCAACGCTCTGCCGAAAGTCGTGGGTTTTCTCCGGGTACTCCGATTCCCTCCCACAGGGAAAAGCTGACAGGGTGGGTTAGGTAAAAGGGCCCGCAGAAATATGTGACGACGAAACTGATAGACATCTGGCTGCGAACTACGGTCTTCTCCTCTGAAGGGGGAAGCGACATTGAAGACTCTTCGTACTTTGCCTTGTTTGTTTGGGGTTAAGGACGTGGGTGGTGAGGGAGGAACCACTGATGTTTGACGGGAGCAGCTGCTTCCGGTGTAAGTTTCTTCGCATAGCCTTTCTGTAAGTCATTATCAATTGTTCCTTGATAAGCGAAAGCGAGGTCTTTATCTTTGTCCAGTGTTTTTTCCAGAGAGAGCAGCTGTTTCTCGGCCAGAAGAGTTTGTAAGTTTTACATAACATACACACATACATACGGTTGTTGGACAACGTTGCGTTCACTTCCTTCCACAGTAGACCCGATTGATAACGGTTATCTACCTTCTTTGTTGTTGACTCAATGATTTCCAAGACTCGTTTGTCCTCGACATTTCTGGGCAATTCCTTGGCGTATCTGCAGCCAAACGACTCCGTTTTCCACCTGGAGTCGAAGGTCTCGTCAGGCGTTGTCACGCGAACCTTCATTGTATGGTCTGGCCCTTCTAGTTTGTGGTCAGGTAAGTGCAATGTCGCTGTCCAACCGAGAGCTGTCCGTACTGCTCGAGGAGCGCTTTTAGGACCGGTGCCTACCTCCAAAGGGACGATAAGGTCGAACACGTCAGCTCCAAGGAGAACTGTGACACGATTCCCATCGATGGGTGGCAGGGGAAGATCAGCGAGATGTGGCCATCTTGTCTTTTCTTTAGGCATTCAACTTTCATCTTCGGTAAGTTGATTCTCTCGACGATTCTCGCTTGGTCAACTGCCCATCGTTCGTTGGGATTCTACGAGGAGCTAACGTCATTTTCTCCGTGAGACCATCCAAACCAAGTTCGTTAGCAATATCGTTTTGAATTAGAGAACAAGTGCTCCCTAAATCTAACATTGCATAAGTTCTCGCGGTCTTGGCCGGCCCGTGAAGCGTTACAGGGACAACTTGAAGGAGAACTTGCGATTGGCGCTGCGAATGCGAAGATTTAACATATTGGTTGGCGTCTCCTTTTCCGAAGACTTGTTTTGTTAGGTGGACTAGTTCATGATGCTTTTCCTGGCAGCCGTCGGCAGCACAAGATTTCTGCGATCGACACTCGCGTATACGATGACCACTTTTCAGGCAACGGGAGCAAAGATTTTCTCTTTGACAGCTTCGGCTCGTTCGTCGGGAGTAAATGCTGCGAACTTCGGGCATGAAGATATTGGATGATTGCCATCTTCAAACAGGCAAGGCGTTGCTGGCTGTTCACCTTCGTGGGTGGCGTACGAGTTGGCAGGGGGTCGTCTCTTCTCCGTCGTTGTCTATCCCCTCTGACTTTGCCAGCAGCGAACAGTGATTTCAGCTTCGTGGGCTATACTGTAGTTCGTAGGCTTCGGATTGTTCCTGCAACCAATCTCCGAGGGTAATCAGCGTGGGGCGTACGATCTTATTTCGTAATGTTCGTTCTATTTCAAAATCATGGGTGACGGTAGTTTCTCAATGTCCTACTTGACGTTGCTCGCAGCTTTCAAGTCATCTAGGTAGCCCAGTCCTGGAATGTCCAAACAATATTGTTAATTACGGTGGAGAATGCCGTAACACTACCAGCGTCGTCCTCTGCAACTGTGGCCACCTTCAAACGTTTGTCCAGATGGGCTTGGATGACGATATGAGGTTTTCCAAAGCGGTTTTCCAAACACTTTAACGCTTGGTGGTAAAGGTTCCCGTTGTAGCGAAAGCCGGCAATTACGGATTTCGCCTTTCCAACAACGTTCTGTTGAAGGTGGGTCATTTTTTCGGAAGGTGACATCTCCGACCGGTGAATGACTGCTTCGAACATACCGAGCCAATCTGTCCACTTTAGAGAGTCACTGGCGAACTTCGTAAGCGTAAGGTTTGGTATAGATTTATGGTATGATGGATGAGTTAGGAATGTTTAGACGAGGGTACATATATACTCAGAGCATTCATAACTTATTTAGTCGTCAGTCACATCTAGCAGAAGAAGACGGGCCTTTAGTCTTCCTTGGTAAGTGCAGTAGAGCTTTAATGGACAGTAACAACCCACTCACATTTGAAGAAGCCTGGGTGTCATAAAAAGTTCTTGAAATAATAATGGGCTATTTATAGATTAATTGAACAATATCTAATGACACTACAGGACCGGTTGCGAGTAAGGGTACCTCCACTCACTACACGGCAAAAAACGCCGAGCCCGCTGCTCAACAGGATTGTACAATGTTTTGCTGCCCACGTTGTTCACACTTGTCAACAACATTGAACAATATTGTTGAGCCTGAATCGGGTGTAACAATATTGTTCAATATTGTTGACAACTATGAACAATGTGGGCAGCAAAGCATTGTTCAATCCTGTTTTCATCAGTATTGCAACAACCTGATCGTTTTTTGCCGTATAGTAGCAAATACTCGCAAGTGGAACGAACACTCGTTTCGTTGAAGGGGCGAGTCATTCCCGCAATTCTCACGCTGCCAACGTATTCGCCCCCTAATTTCCCACGTCCGCCCGGAGTTAGTTCTTAGCCCCACGGTTTCGTATTGTGGTCCTTTATATATATATTTTTTGTTTAGGTTGGCTCCTTAGTTGTTGGCCAACATGGTATATTTTCCACACCAGCGGTATCTTGTACTATCAGAAAAAGATCTGCTAAAGGTGAGCTGTGTCTCAAACAGTTGTCAATCAATGATCCAAAACTTTTGTTACAGTTACGTTTTTGGCAGTAAAAGAACAAATGAATGTGCACTGTAGAGTTTTTAGACTGCTTGCAGAGCAACCAACTGCATAAATATGATATTATACGTTAGACACCAAAATTAATATAGTTATACGTACTGAATCATGCAAGCTTGCGCGTCATAACCTCTAACATCTAACCAATATATGTAAAGACGTTACTTAGAGGAGATCGCTTAAGTAAAATGCGTAGTCATGTGGCACTCGTATAACTGATTTTTAATTTTGTTTGCTACTTTAGCGGGAATTGTTCTGTCAGCTAGTCATAATCCTGGAGGACCAAGTGGGGATTTTGGTATTAAATTCAACACTTCAAATGGAGGTGCCAAACTATTTAAGTTATGGAAAGTAACTTTAAATTATTATATGCTCTTCTAAAATCGCACGCACCCCAATGCGCAACATACTGTAAAAGCTTTCTAAATTTTGTTAAACGATAAACCCAATCGTGATTAACATATTGTGTTCTAATAATTATACTGAATAAATGAATTTAGTAATTATTATCCCTTTACGTTGCTCTCTCATGTTCCCTACTTTGTTATTTTACTCTCTTTAACCCCCGATTTCACTCGTCAAGTGGAAAGTACTGGAACTCAATGGGTTAATCAGACCGTCTTTCCATTCGTTTGCCATGGCATTGCGCCTCAATTTGTTTCTTACTCCCTCTAAAGGCTCGTTTACACTTGCAATTTTCGATGCGATTTCTAGTGCGATTTTCGTCTTCTGATGCATGTGAACGAGTGGAGGAGTTATGAATGATACAAGTATCTATACTCTCATCTGAACATTCATAACTTATCTACTCGTTCACATCCATTAGAAGCTGACTCGTCCCCAGTCGTCTCTGTGTTTCAAGCGCGGGCGGAAGAAAAGGTAGCAAGGGTTAGCAAGGGCATGCAGGCGATGAGCACACGCGCTAGGAGCGCTGGGAAGGGGGAAAGGCCGCCTGCTTCCGCCCGCGCTTAAAAAACCTTGCGCATACCTTTTCTTCCGCCCGCGCTTGAAACACAGAGACGACTGGGGACGAGTCAGCATTAGAAGAAGAAAATCGCACTAGAAATCGCAGCGAAAATTGCAAGTGTAAATGGGCCTTAAAGGTCCGTTTACACTTGCAATTTTGATGCGATTTTTAGTGCGACTTCCTTCCTGATGGATGTGAACGAGTAGATGAGCTACAAATGTTCGAAGTACATGCATGTACCCTCATCTGAACATTTATAACTTATCCACTCGTTCACATCCATCAGAAGACGAAAATCGCACGTAAAATTGCAGCAAAAATTGCAGTGTAAGCAAGAGAAAGTGCTAGCGCTCGTGGGTTATATTAATTGAACTCAGTTACATGCAGTAGCTCCGATGCATCTAATGTCCTTTAAAACTGTTAGATGTTGACTGTTGTGATTTACATGTCGTGTACATGTACAAATGTACAATTCGTTCGATGAGAATGCCTGCAATGCCATCACTTTTCATTGAATGAACAAAAAATAGTAACAATCAGTTACTTTTTATCTAGCGCCAGCTCCAGAATCAATTACAAATCATATTTTTCAACTGTCAAAAGAAATATCGTCGTACAAAATTTGTGAAGGAATAACATTGGATCTTTCATCAATTGGCAAGCAACAATGGACAGTTGAAAATAGAAAGCCCTTTTTCGTGGAAGTGGTGGATTCTGTGCAAGATTATTTGGAATTAATGAAAGAAGTATTTGATTTTGTCAAACTGAAGCAATTACTGTCTGCTGACAATGCACCAAAGCTTCTTTTAAATGCTATGCATGGAGGTAGGTTCTGTGTAGACTGCTGTAATTTGCTACAAATACTGCGTCTGCATGATGTAAAATAATAATGCAATAAAGGAAGAATATTTTATGTAATATTTTAAATCTTGCTTTTCTATTATGAATGTATATCTTTCCTTTAAATGATACTATTTTTTATTCACTACTTAGGTAAGAGGTATCAGCAAAAATTCTTTGTTGATCTCAAGGCAACTAGCTATGAGATAACGTGACTATGATTGTATATATATGCGTTGCCATAGAATCCCGAAAGTATCCCGCCCCCTCCCCTCTTGCTTTCTGTTTTATCCGCTATTAGGGCCGAGTACTTACAGGAGGCGTTACTTTACATGTAATTTATTCTTTTTTGTCCCTCCCTAAGTAGGAAAATCAATTTTCAATACATTCTATTTAATACGTATACCAAACAATTAAATACCACCATACATGTTGTGCATATAACATGCAACACCTGGTCATATATATGCACTGAAACATGCTTGTACTTTGTTACGAAGGCCCGCAACTTACGCGGGAGCACTACTTTTGGAAATTTTTTAAACATTTGAAATTTTCCACTATTTTGGGGATTGCTACTTTTGGAGGGGCCGCCACATGGGATTTTCTAGTAATTACTGAATGCCTTTGAAGGCAACTAGAATAATTCGAAGTATACACGGAATTTAATGAGCAACTATAATTTTTTTAAGCTCTGAAGTTAAAAACGAAGCAATTGAGGTAAAAATACCCAAACTTAATGCTCTGTTTTTCTTTAGTAACTGGCCCGTATATTAAAAGAATTTTTGTAGAAGAACTGGGTGCACCAGTGACGTCACTCATTAACTATATTCCTAAAGAAGACTTCGGAGGTGAGATGTTCTGTTTGCATGTACATACCCTAATAACAATAGGGCATTTATTGTACAATACATAGAGCATGTTAAACGTTGGGGACAAGATATTGATATTGATTTCAATTTTCTATTTTAACGTATTATGTTAATTAGGCGTTCTTGTAGTTGTTGGATCATAGAGCCTGCCGCACACGAGAAAAACTGTGGCGGCTAACTCAGCTATGATATATATATATATATATATATATATATATATATATATATATATATATATATATATATATATATATATATATATATATATATATATATATAAAAACTGTGGCGGCTAACTCAGCTATGCTTATATCACCGCACACGTTGGGAAAACTACTCAACAGCAACGTCGTTGATAAGATCGTTTGCATTCCCCTCCATTGTCACCATTTTGATCAATGTCACGTGAAGAAACTATGGGTTCTCATTGACTAGTTAATTCAAGCAACTCAGCACGAAGCTCGTATAACATCCGCAGACTTTGATATTTTTTCCTCGCGAGGTGAAAAATATCGAACACATAGATATTTTCCTTGAGTCCTCGAGAGGTTAAATCCTCATGAAAACTATCCACACACGAGAGAAATATGCTGAACTAGCCGCCACACGAGGCGGTTAGCTCAGCAACTTTCTCTCGTGTGTTGCAGGTTTAAATAGATTCAGGATCCTAAACTGCAGTTAAATAAGTATCGTTGTATCAATAAATTAGTATCTCCTTGTTACCAGGTCACCATCCTGATCCAAACTTAACTTATGCCGCTGACTTGGTGGAAATACTCGAGAGAGGGGAACACGATCTTGGTGCGGCATTCGATGGAGATGGGGTAAATGTTTCGCTTAAATGAATTGTTGAATGTCAAATGCATTTGGTACTAGTTTGTTTTGCTTGCATGCTTGTCCCATACTTGAATCGTTATTGTTTCACCTTTGGATTTGTTACCAGTTTAAATTTGCTTTTCA